TTTCAATCTTTATAAACAAATCGATTAAACATGCATGTTAGTAATATTTTATTTTAGATATTATGAGGTTAAATCTAGCTAAACAATTCAATGTTTATTTCTTTTTAGGAATTAGTGGCCTTATTCGTTGAAACTTTGAAGAAAAAAAGAGATTTTTCATACTAAAATTTGAGCTTGTATAAACTATCTAATAGTGCAACTTAATATATTCATATTTCACTGACTTTATGTGTTGCAAAATATAACAAAGAGAATACAAATTTTAGTTTCAATCTAGTCATCCTACTTAGCAAGAATGTTGGTAAAAATCGAAAGAACCTTCAAATTAAAAGAACTCTAATAATAATATTCACCATTTTTAAAACTTATATTTTTTTATAACTACTATTTAAATATATTCTTAATAATATTTATGTCACGTTCATAATTCAGTACTCATTAATTGATAAAAAAATAAACACCCGAACTCATATCAAGAGATTAATAATTAGTGAAAGAGAAAGTAAAAAAACTTAAGAATTAATTATGGTGAATAAGAGTCCATTTGAATTAATAAAAAATACTTGTAAATAATTAAGAATGAATGGAAGGAAAAAAAAAAAACCTTCCCACATTAATTCAATGACAAAAAAAAAAAGAATGAAATAATTAAGCTTCCAAAAAAATTAATGCTGCAGACGAGGTTCGAACCTGCGCTGCCCATGTGGCAATTGGCCTGCTTTGCCAATTGGATTATTCACCATATTGTTTAGTGGGTGGCAAAGAAAATATATATTAATCTTCTTATACATATATACATATATATATAAAGTTTTTTCCGAGATCAGTGAGTGCCGTGGCACCCCCACAGGTACCCATAGATTCGCCCCTGATAATGAATGATTATTATGTCTAATTAGACGACGAATGTTGCATGAAAATCCTTGAAGGATTTAAAAGGTCTTAAAGCAATTCCATTGAGTACCCAATGGTTTTGTGACTGCTTAACACAGAGAAAGAATCTTTTTGATATCATGAAAATGATTTAAAATGTCATGTATTTGTGCAATTGGTGCACTTACCGATTGTTGGTTATGCAAATGCTAGAAGATTATTTGATATACATAACGAAAGTTATGTGGAAGGATTTTCATATTATCATTCAAGTTATGACAAAAAACTAACAAAGCAAGTGACTCAACATATAGAAGATGTGTGATTTTCTTTCAGAAGAAAAGACGAGCTTCAATAAAATTGAAATGATCAATCCCCGAGTAAGAAATGATTTGATTATGTAGATGCAGAATATTTATTTGATCTGCATAAAGCTCGATCGCAAATGGACTATTATTTACATATGGAGACACAACGATATCTTGGAAATTCAAAGAATCACATTAGTAACCACTTCTTTAAATCATGCAGAAATAATATTGATCTATGAATAAAATTGGGAGTGTGTTTGGTTGGAATCATGATCTATCATATTCAGAAAATATGTGATTTTCTTTTGAAAAGGATATTCCAGCCACCATATATGAAAATGATATATAGCTCAATTGAAGGGAGTATACAATCAAGGGAGATCGGACAAAGTATATTTCACCAAAAGTTTTTTTCATACATGATCTTCAACAAAATGGTGAGATGGACGTTCAAAGATCCATTCAAGTGATAATCTTGTAAACTTATTCACTAAAGATTGCAAACATCAATATTTGAGAAGTTGTGATACCAGATTGGAATGCATTGTTTTCGAGATATCAAGTAAAAATTTTATCAGGGGGAGAAAAATACGCGTTGTACTCTTTTCCTTAACCATGGTTTTATCCCAATTGGGTTTTCCTGGTAAGGTTTTTAACGAGGCAACATTCAAAGCGTATTAAAAGATATGTGTACTCTTTTTCCTTCACTAGGATTTTTTCCCACGTGATTTTTTCCTAGTAAGGTTTTAATGAGGCATATTATCTATGGACATTCAAGGGGGAGTGTTATAAAATATTATAGTGTGGATGTGTTTTTTCCTAGTAAGGTTTTAACGAGGCATATTATCTATGGACATCCAAGGGGGAGTGTTATAAAATAATATATTGTGGATGTCCACTACATCAAGAATTTACTCCATTACTTTTCTCCATTATGCAGATAACCATAACCTCCATAACCTCCACCTTTATAACCATTATTCTTGTAACATTTCACTTCCATAACCTCCACCATTATATTAATGTTAGTGTCATGTTTATGACTAACCTTTTGTATGCCTCTATGTTACACTATAAATAGAGACATAAGGGTTCATATTGTATAGACCTGAAGATTTAGTGTACACTTGAAAGAAAGAAATTATCTCATATTGTTCCTCTTGTCTTATATTCTTCTTGTCTTCATCTTTATATTATTCTTTTATTCTTAAGTTTTATAACATAGTGTTATATTTAGGTTTGACTCTATTTTATGTAACCACAAACTTAATGTGATTGCGTCATTACTTTATTTTATTATCATCTTGCCTTAATTACTTTTCGGTTAATAATCTTATTTACCTTTAACTCTAAATTGTTTTAATAATAACTCAATATCATACTCTATTTTTACTTCATAGTATGATTATTCTTTAATTATCGGGTGACTTTATAAAATATCGAGAAATATATAATTTATTAGAATATTATATTAGTTAAAACAATACATTATAATACAATATTGATATGTATAGACAATTTGAAATAACACCATATCAAGAAACATCAAACTATCTTAGGTTTATTCATTTCAATTAAAATTTCCAGTACATTTAGAATAGAAGGAAATGCAGACAGAACATACTTTTTATTTTTTTTGGAACAGGAAACACACAACCTCTGTCACAGCCTATGCCCTTCGGAGCACTTTTTGGTAACCTAAGCTGGATTCGATTCACCTTCCAACCACTCAACCATGCCCTTGCGGGCAACAAAACATAGTTTTATTTCCCTTATTTTTCAGATACTCAACAAAGCTAACAATGTAAGAAGTCTGAAGCTGTATATCTCCAAAAACATCAATAGCTTTTCTTGCTCTTTCTCTCATCTCTTTACCTTCCTCGGAAACCATGGCGTACATCAATGCCTTGGCTATATCCTTTCTAGTAAACGATCCGTTTTCTTCATTTCTCTCCACTTCAATTCCGAATCCTTTTTCTACTATCAATCTTGCATTCAGCCCTTGATCATGCACAAATGGCAAAACAACAAGTACATGTCCATGCTGTAGTGTTTCAACAATTGAACCTAGTCCCCCTTGAACTAGTGCTCCTCCAATTGAAGAATGTGCAAGAATTTCCTTTTGACGCGCCCATCCAATGTGCACCACGCCTTTCTCTGCATTCCTAGCCCTGAATCCTTCAGGCAAAGGATCCACATCATTTGAAGTAGTACTACTCCATTTAGGCTTTTGTAATATCCATAAAAATGGTAGCTTAGATAGTTCAATCCCATGAGCTATTTCATATACTTGATCTTTACTTGGTTTACACTCACTCCCAAGTCCTACGAATAAAACTGACTGGAAATTCTGTTGATTGAGCCATTTTAAGATCCTCTGCCACGATTGATCGCGATTGATGTTGAGGTCTACACATGATGGTGGTGATAGTAATCCAATTGGGATTATAGGCTTAGAGATGAGTTTATGCATCGCATCCAAGTAATCACCTTCGAATTCATTGCAGCTACGTATAGCTACAGCTCGACATGCTCTCAATACCTTGGCTGAACGTTGAGCGTATGATTCCCCTGAGGCGTCTTCTTGGAAAGACAAGGAGAAAAGCTCTGCTGCTTCATAACTCCGATAAGCCAACGTTGATGGAAAATGCAGCTTCTCAGAAACAGGTAATGTGAGGCTTTCAGGCATTGGTCCTGAAGCTCTAGCAGCAATCAAAAAAGCTCTTGAAGCAGCTGAGAAAACACTGAAGTGGATGATAGGGATATTATAAGCTTCAGCAATCTCAACTATCCAATTTTGAAAGAAGTCAACAATAATCCAATCAGGTTTTTGATCAGCAATGAACTTTTTGATCGGTTCTCGGAGTAGATCATAAGCTACTTTCAAGTACTGAATTTTTTCTAAAGGAAGATCAACAGAAGCCTCGGCGTCTTCAGGCAAAAGAGTGTTGTCATCAAGACTTGGCAATGGAAATTCCACTAGTTTTACAAGATGTGTTAAGTTAGGAGAAACTTTAGGGAGTCTTTGGATGTTTTTCGGAGTAGAAATGAATGAAACATGAATTCCTCCTAATTCAGCTAAGGCTAAGGAGAGATTGGAAAATGGAATAAGGTGACCAAATGCAGACCATGGTAGCATTACTACATGAACATTTTCACTCTTACTCATTTTTGTTCTTTATTTGCTAAGTAAATATTTAGTTCTACTATTTGTGTGAATGAGAAAAAGAGGTAGATAGATAGGTCTTTTATTTGAAAATTTTCGTTAAAAGTTTGTTGTACGAGGTTGGATCATGCATTATTATGAGTGTGATAACATGGGAATACTAAGAAGTACAAACTCCTACCTAGGATCTTGTTTGCTATGATCATGTGGCATGATTAGGACATGAGTGTTTGCTTGCAAATTCAATCACTAATTAAGTTTTGAATTAAGTTTTTGTTTGGGAGCTTCAAGTGAGTCAAGTACTAATAAAATGGAATTTTAAGTGGTAGACCTATACTGAATCAGATTATGTGGGTGCTTTTGGGAGCAAGAAAATCTATAGAACCAAGGAAATATTACAAGAAACATTTTCTATCAAAAGAATATTCATAAATCAGGCCCCAGATCTGCATGAACGCGGGATACTTTGTGCACGAGCTTCCCCTTTTTCTAACTGTGATCAAGAATCTGGTTAGACCATCTAAGAATCAATTTACTAGGAGGAAACAAATTAATTTTCTCTTGCAATTTCAATTTATTCCTTACAATAAGAAGTTCAACTACATTGAAGTTAAGTAGAACAAGATGGAACATTGATGGCTCTAATGATTTTAATCAGTAGATATTTCTTCTCTATCATTCTTCAGATACTCGACGAAACTAGCAACGTACGAATCATGAAGCTTTTGATCTCCAAAAATGGCTGCAGCTTCTTTGGTTCGAACTCTCAACTCTTCACCTTCCTTCGAAACCATAGCATACGTCAACGCTTTCTCTATCTCATTCCTAGTAAACGATCCGTGTTATGAACCAAATCCAATCCAATATGAATACCAAGGTCACAGAAATAGTTATTGGGCTGGCAAGAGCTATTGGGCTGAGAACAAGCAATAGGGCCAGGTTAATTTGGGATCCGGGTTGAGTAGTGGGTGTGGGAATGGTTCCATCAAAAGGGGTAGCGGTCGCTGATTCATGGGTTATGCTTGTTAAGAAAAGAATCTGATTCCTCTCATCTCCGTTCTTAGTCTAAGCTTCTCATCCCCTTCTATCTATCACTGTAATTTCTGATCTTCTTCCCCTTTGATTAACATTCTCAGTTTCGTTTTAAGGATCGTTAGCTATTACTTGCTTGTTGTTTCCATTTCTCAATTGTATTTTGTGCTCTCAGTGATTATAATATATATCCTTGTTGTGTAGTAACTTGAGTTGTTACAATCCGTCTTCTTCATTTCTCTCCACTTCAATTCCCAATCCCTTTTCCATCAGAAATCTCCCATTAAACCCTTGATCATACACAAACGCCAGAACAACAACAACATGCCCATACTGCAAACTCTCTGTTACGGAACCCCACCCACCTTGAACCAGACTACCCCCAATTGAAGGATGTGACAGAATCTCCTTCTGTGGTGCCCATCCAATGTGCACCACTCCTTTCTCCGCGGTCCTCTGTCGGAATCCTTCCGGCAGAGGATCCACTTCATCAAAACTACCCCAATTTGGCTTTTGTAGTATCCATATGAATTGTAACCCGGAGAGCTCAAGTCCGTGAGCTATTTCATCTACTTCCTCTTTACTCGGCTTACATTCGCTTCCAAATCCAACGAATAAGATCGATCCGGACTTCTGTTGATCCAACCATTTGAAAATGCTCTGCACTGATGTATCGCTGCTGAATAAGTTTGTTGACATTGATAATAATAATCCAACTGGAAATACAGGGTTATCGACAATTTTATGTAATGCATCTATATACACATCGTCAATTTCTTTGCAACTACGTATAGCTATAGCTCTACACGCAGAAAATATTTCAGATCCACGTTGAGCAAATGAAGCACTCGAGGCATCTTCTACATAACACATCGACATAAGCTCTAACGACTCGTACTTTCGATAAGACAAAGTAGACGGAAAATCCAGCATCTGAAATACCGGTGAGGTTAAAATTTCAGGAGCTTCTCCTAAAAGTGTTCGCAGCAATTGAGAAACCCGTTGCAGCAGCAGTGAAAATGCTGAAATAAATTATGGGGATCTCGTAATTTTCAGCAATATCGACTATCCAATGTTGTGCGAAATCATCTATGATCCAGTCGGGTTTTTCATCAGCGATGAAATGTTCTACGGGTTGTTGGAGGAGATCATAAGCTGCTTTCAAGTACTGGATTTTTTCAGCTGTAACATCGACAGAAGCTTCAGCATTCTGGGGCAAAAGTGTCTCGTCATCGAGTACTGGCATTGGGAATTCTACTAGTTTTACGAGGTGTGTTAAGTTTGGAGAAACTTTAGTGAGTCGTTTGATATTTTTCCTAGTGGATATGAAAGAGACATGTATTCCTCCGATTCGCGCTAAGGCTATGGCGAGATTGAAAAATGGAATAAGGTGACCAAATGCAGCCCATGGCAGCATTACTACAGGAACATTATCATCGTTTTTCATTTCACTCTACTAATTCCACAATATGTTTCAAATTGTGAAAGTTTATATTAGTTATACTACAAGGTTGGTTTCATCATGCATATATATTTGATGTGTATGCATTGGATGAAACAAAATTTCAGATGTAATTTTATTTGCTAGATTTGCATTGCTTGCACGTTCAATCAGTACTAAATTTTTTGCATTAATAAAGACTTTTTTCTTGGGAGATTCAAGGCAACAACTGAATTGGGATCTTAGCTAAATGGTGAACCAATTAGCACACAATCGTATCATGTGAGATGCTTTTGGGAACAACAAAGTAAACCGACTCCTTGTTTTGCAGAAATGCTTCCTTGTAAGTGAAGGTGTTAAAAGCGGACGGGGTAGGCCTAAAATCACATAGAAGGAAGTGTTTCGAAAAACCTATAAATGTTTTGGTATCAACGCAAACGTAACTAAAATAGGACACAATAAAAATAATAAAAGAAAAAGATCTATATAGATGATAGCTATTGGTTGCGAATAGACTTGTTAAAAGAATTTCACATATTATTATTATTATTATTATTGTTAATGGTCATATGATTCAGGCTTTGTAAACTTCTATGACCAGTCCAGTAATAACATTGCAGAAGCTAAGGCTTTATTGAAAGGGTATATTGTAACAAGGTGGAAGTATTGAAGATTAACCCAACTTTCTTTTATAACCCGTTGATTAATTCCCAAAAAAAGAAGAAAAACAATGTTATTAACAACACGAAAAATAAAAATAAAAACAAAGAAAACTTGCTCTTCAAACGCAGTTCAATAATGAATATGTTAGAATTCAAGCTGCAATTTTACGAGTTTGAAATTCAATAAACTAAGACCACATAGTCCCTAATAGTTATTTAACTCATAAGAATTGCACCCGATAGCCAATTTTTAACTAATTCTTTAAGATATATTAAATTTAAAAAAAATTATTTCACGTGTAGCTGATTTAACGAACTTCACACAAAAAATTTCAACTCCACCACCTCTTCAAAAAATTTGCTCAATGTTGGTTAACAAAGACTTCATAACACGATTAATATGTTTTCTTTTTTAATATTTTAATTATTATACTATAAACTCCCTTAAAATTTAATATAATTCAACAAAATTTAGATATTTTGGGACCCTCACTAACTACTTTCCAACGGAAATGACCAACAACTCATTAAACCACTCTTTGTTGACTCTCTTCCCTTAATTTTTTGCCACTTAGACATGCTAAATTTATGCTTAATTAGTTTCTATAATTTCATCTAACTTTTCAACAACATGAAAAATGTAATCCATATATACCTAATATGATGGAAATATATGTACCTAACCTAACATGGTGGAAAATACTATGTTATATTTTCTTGTATTATAACATGATTCATCTTGTTGAAGTTGATATATATCTAATGAATGAGTCATTGCGTATGATTCTTAGGAGTTAGGCAAAGTTGAATGATTTTTTGGTTTTAAAACAACTGCTTAGTAACTTCTTGTGATTGTTGGACAAAGATGAATATTTTTTCTTGATTCTATGTTGCACAAAAATAGTTTGATCAATTCGATGCAATAAAATAAAAAAATTGAGTGATCATAAACTAAATCAACCCAAAATAGCTATAACTATTAAAACATAATACAAAACTATACATATGAAACGATTAGACAAGAGGAGGTTGTTCAAATGGTAAGTAATATTTCCCACAAACGTACAGTTGTGGGAAATATCAAAACATGATACATGAAATATTACTAGTGTCACAAATGACGTGAGAAACATGATATGAATCCATACCCAAAAATTAGATATAGAAAGAAAATGAGATTGAATATGTCATTGTCTTAAGTTTTAGCTCCATATAAACAGTATATATTTAGACAATAAATAAATGTGTCACCAGTCATACTTTCAAACTTTTTTGCCTATATAAATCACTTGTTTGTGTTTGTATTTTAACCAAAAAAGCAACTCCATACACCCTATTCTCACTAAACAATAGAGTAGTCCTACAGAGCTCAAGTGAACAACCAAAACTTTCACTTCTTTCTTCTATGGTAAAGTGAAAAGTCCTCTTAAAAAAAAAGCAATTCAAAATGTTTGTCTTGTGGGATTGTCCTAAAAATTGTGAAAAATCATATCTAGCTGTATTTTTATATTCTAGAATAATGGTAGTGCTCCAGCCAACTTGCACACACTCTTTCACCAGTTGAAGTACTGAATAACTCTGTCCACTAAGACTTAAGCAAATGGGAAGAAACCACGTAGTGCTTTTTTATCTTTTGTCTCGCTAAAATTTTAAACCATATCTTGCTTTATTATATTCTTGCAGATGGTGAAGACAGATTGGCTGTTAGTAATCCTTCTAGGACTGGTGTTTTTAAGTCTAGAAGGAGCTGAAGGAAGAAAAGAGAGAATTCTTGGAGGATCCCCTTATGAGTTAGCATACTCAGCAATAAACTGCAGAAAGCACAGTGCATCCATAAAAGATTTTGGAGGAATTGGAGATGGAAAAACACTCAACACAAAGGCATTTCAAAAGGCAGTAAATCAACTGAGTAAATATGCATCAGATGGTGGAGCTCAACTAATTATCCCTGCTGGTCACTGGCTCACTGGTAGTTTCAATCTTACTAGCCATTTCACTCTTTTTCTACACAAGGATGCTGTTCTTCTTGCTTCTCAGGTACTAGTTTGATCTACTTGTTGCATTGGAATTTCAAACTTTGTCAGCTAAAACAGGAACTTAAATGTGAAAAAGAAAAAAGTAAATGTTGAAGAGTCTCAGGAGCTGTAAGCTTTGCTGTCTCGAGACCCCTACTCTAACTAAAGGAGCCCTACTGAATTTACGTTCCCAAATTACGACTAATAGTTTCACCTTTTGAACCACCAATCGCATTAAGCGACTGATAAAGTTGACAGAAGGGAAGCCTTGGTGTAACTGATAAAGTTATTGTCATGTCACAAGGAAGTCACAGGTTCAAACTGTGGAAACAACCTCTTGCAAAAAAATTTGCAAGGCCGTGTACAATAGTCCGGCCCTTCTCCCGACCCATGCATAGCGGGAGCATAATGTACGGGACTACCTTTTATTAGTCGCATTAAGCGATAAGGTCGGGACAAAACCTTATAAGGGGCAGCCCTCAACCCGATCATCCAATTCACTCCTAACAGATGGGCATGGTTTTGTAGTTAAAGCAGTTCATCAATATACTTGCTATTAATGAGTGTGATTTTAATTGGTTCAGGAGATAAACCAGTGGCCTGTGATAGACCCCCTACCATCCTATGGTCATGGGAGGGATGCACCAGGAGGCAGGTACATCAGTCTCATTTTTGGTACTAATCTCACAGATGTCATCATCACAGGTAACTATAAAGTCTTATTATAGACCAAATACTTCTATCCACCTTGAAGATGATGTTTTTTTTTTCTATTATTCAACAGTTTAAAACAGATACTTGTCTTTTCTGCATGATTAGGTGAGAATGGGACAATTGATGGACAGGGTGCTCTCTGGTGGCAACAATTTCACATGAACAAACTAAAATACACAAGACCTTACTTGATTGAACTCATGCATTCTAATAAAATTCAAATATCAAATCTAACCCTTCTCAACTCTCCTTCTTGGAATATTCATCCTGTTTATAGCAGGTAAATCTATCAGCCAAATCTTACATTATTTAACATATCATTTACTCTTTTCAAGTTTAACACAATCTTCATGCTTGTGAAATTTCAGCGATATCATTATCCAAGGCATCACTATTTTAGCACCTGTTACATCCCCAAACACTGATGGGATCAACCCAGGTCTGTTTTTTTTCTTTTCTAAAAGCATTTTAATAAAAGAAATCTAGGAAAACCTGATTCATCTAGTCTACTCTTCTTGTTCTTTAAATTTTCAGATTCTTGCACAAATATAAAACTAGAGGACAACTACATTGTATCTGGAGATGATTGTGTAGCAGTCAAAAGTGGCTGGGATGAGTATGGTATAAAATACGGAAAGCCAACAAGTCATTTGATCATCAAACGTCTCACTTGCATTTCACCTTATAGTGCAGCTATAGCATTAGGAAGTGAAATGTCAGGTGGAATTCAAGATGTGAGAATTCAAGACATTACAGCCATCCAGACAGAATCAGGAATAAGGATCAAAACTGGTGTGGGGCGAGGGGGCTACGTCAAAGATATATATGTCAAGGGGATGAAACTGCACACCATGAAATGGGTATTTTGGATGACAGGCAACTATGGTTCACATGCTGACACTCACTGGGATCCTAAAGCCTTACCAGAGATAAAAGGAATCAATTACCGGGATGTGGTGGCTGAGAACGTGTCAATGGCTGGCCAGCTAGATGGGATATCCGGGGATCCTTTCACTGGAATCTGCATGTCCAATGTAACAATTGGTTTAGCAAAAAAGTCCAAGCAAAATCCATGGGCTTGCACTAATATTGAAGGAATTAGCAGTAGTGTGCAACCTCCACCTTGTAAGTTGCTAGCTGATCAGGGCCCAAAGAAAAGTGGTATGTGTGATTTTCCTACAGAAAGTTTACCCATAGATAGCATAGAGATGCAAAGATGTTCTTATAGATTGAATCTCTGATAAGCTTTCCATACATGTAATAGTTCTATTACTTAAGTACCCATACTTTTCATGGCTACTTCAGAATACCCTCAATATTACACTACAAATTAAGGACTTCATGTGTGCTTTTTCAATATGGATGATTTCATGTTACACTATAAGAAGCAAAACTATGATTCTACAAACCGTGACTATCAACACATCTAAGAAAGACAAATCTCAAAGTTCATTTACCGGGAAGGAATTGTGAACAGCACATGTAAGATAGCAAATACACGCTTCTGGATATCACCTTGTAGCTGAGAAAGAATTTAGAAACACTAAAGAAAACTAGGTGATTGTTCATAAGAATACAAATCTACAATCACATAGGGCATCCAGACTGAAAAATACATAACTACTGTCAAACCACTTGAAAGCAAAGATAGGTCAAATTTTTAGGATAACAAGCTGTAATCACTTGGGATTTCCTAGTTCCACCAGCCAGAGAGAATCTGGTAACAAGAAGGAATTGGTACTTGGAACGTTCTGATCACCTTGAAAGACTAATAGGACAAATCTAACATAAGCTACTAACAGAACCATGAACTCGCCTCCACTGCATTTGATCTACTATTTCCGAGGATCACAGAGAAGTTTGATAAGTATCCTAAAAAAGTTATGAAACATCAGAAATTATAAAACAGCATCTCTCTCAGTGAGTTGGATCTGGATTAAAGTTCACAGATTCCCTCCAGATGAGCTCCTTGATATTTTCTTCAGTAAAAGATGGCTGCTCAAAGTCAAAACTGAAAGGCATGGGACAAACAGGCTCCTCATTGATATCATGAAGAGGTGCCAAGTAGGGGTGGCAGAGAGCTTCATCAACTGCAAAAGATGAATAATGAGGATTAGCAATGAAAGATCATTTTCAGGTTAAACCTTTTTATCAAAAAAGTATCTCACAACCTGATGAGTTAGAATTGACTCAAAGAGAAGTTCTCACAATCATCTTTACCTGTAACACGCCTGCTTGGATCAAAGACAAGCATTTTTTCAAGCAAATCAACAGCTCCAGGAGATGAATTGGGGAATTTAGCAGCAAATTGTTGCCTTGGGTACTGTGGGAGCTGTCTAACATACCTCCGAGCATTATCACTCCGGAGAAATCCAAGACTGGCATCATCAGGTGATCCTATGAGCTATTTCAAACAAGTAAAGGGGACGTATCAGGATTGAACTGACTGAATTAACAAAAGTGAACCTCTCTTTGTGCAAATTAACAACTAAATAAACAGCTACTTGAAAGAAATTCTAAGAAAAATACACTTGTATAGGCCAGATATCATACTATCTACGTTAAAGCATTAGAGACAGCAGTCCGTATTCATTGTTACTGTTTAGTTAAACTTATGGAGGTAGACAAACACACATAATGCATATTTACCTCTGTGATAAGTTTCAACTGGTGAACGTAATCCCTGCCAGGAAAGAGAGGCTGTCGTGTCATCATCTCACCCAGTATGCAACCAACTGACCAGATATCAATTGCTGCTGTGTATTCTGAACAATTTAGGAGCAACTCCGGTGCACGATACCACCGTGTTACAACATACTCTGTCATGAAATCTGTTTCAGATGTTGTCCTTGCAAGCCCAAAATCTCCAACTTTTAGGTCACAGTTTGCATTGAGAAGCAAATTGCTGGGTTTTAGATCACGATGCAGGACATTGGCAGAGTGAATGTATTTGAGTCCTCGTAATATTTGGTATAGGAAATACTACAAAAAGCAACGAGGAGAAGACCACTCATATACAGGAAGTACGTGATACAGACAGCAATCAAAGCATAGAAAAATCCCAAACGAATAGACCTCTTTACTGATGATTGTTCATCCTGTCATGCTTAGGGAACAAAACCTTCTAACCTATTTTTCTGATCATTCAGTAACAGGAAAAGAAACTTCGGATTTTTGAACACTCAACTCTGAAAAATTATAAAACTAGTTTTACCTTTTCCTCACAATTTGGCCTTACAGTGGATCTTTTTGTAATATCATACAAATCAGTGTTATATAAGCAGGGTCTGTGAAATATTGTAGTTTGTGGTATGAACAAGTTTCACACTGAGTGTCATGTGGATGCAGTGAGCACCACTACCTAAATGGAGTCCATGTACTATTAGGTAAGTGCTGAAACGCTTTCCAAGTACAAAACAAAATATGACATGGAGAGAGGGTAATTCATATACTTTGTACAAAGGGAAGTATAATATAAAGCATCAATGATCTACATACTGCAAGCGACAAAAACATGGATGATTGCATTATAGTGGAAAGTTCTGGCAAAAATATTTTTGCAAAAAATGATAATAATCTGCCTCTTACAGATCCAGAATCAGCTTTCTGCTTAGAGCAAGGGAAGGATAGATGCAACGGGCAACACATACTTGATTGCCTAGTTCAGGTGACATAAAAATTTGGAGTCTTCAATACACATTTTTGATTGCCTAGTTCAGGTTACATACAAATTTGGAGGCTCCAGTACACATCAGAAAGTTTAGCTTACCCGACAGTGATCATCAGTCAATTGTTGGTTGGAACGAATTATCTGATGAAGATCAGTGTCCATCAGTTCATAAATAATGTAGACATCATTGAAATTCTCAGTTTGTGGTGGCCTTATAATATCTTTAATGGCAATCACCTGTAGTAATCATAAAAGCTAAATATTATGATTCTAATAAAACTGATGTAGAATCATTTTTTAAGTGTAAATCCATTACTCCTAACACCAGAAAAGAACATGCATACCAACTATGTCTCAATCCCAAACAAGTTGGGGTCGGCTATATTATGAGTAAGGAATCAGTTACCATAAATGCACTTGCTTCCAATTTCTTGGCAGCAGATCCTATCCATAGGAGTCAATAGATCATTTTACTCTTAGTCATGGGTTAACCATGAATTGGAATTCCAAAAGAATTATTCACCTTAAACTGTAGGCTTAGGCATTTCTCCTAATTTAAAAGGTAATTTGATAACTATTAGCAAATGCGATAACCCTCGAGACATCTTTCCTTCCTTTCCTTTCTTTACTTCTCCACTTCGACTGAAGACACGAGGGGGGAGAGATAGGGTGCAGTATTCTTTGCTTTTATTGCCTACATTGCCGGAAGTCATGGAGAAAATATCCCTTTAAGCAATCAATTTCTATCTAAAAGGTGAATATAACTAGGGTCTCCAATTCTTACTGGTGTCATCCCGTAATTATTTCAGTAAAGCAAGATAGTAGCTCTGGAGGCCTCAAATCTCTCTCAGATCAACCATCTCTGGCCCATAATGTCTTCAGCCTACTCTGGTTATTGGTGACGCAGTTTACAACCAAACCATTCACCCAACCCAACCCCCAAGAAGAGAAAGAAGGGGAAACAACAGTGCATTACATCCAGTAAAAATGAAAGAGAAAAGAAGGAATGGAAACAAAAAGAAATACACAAGGATTGCTCCTTGCAAATCATTAGGGAACAGTAATGCTGCCACCTATAAACTGCAATGACATGAAATACCTAAGTTATATGTTGTGATACTGAATAGCAAACAGAAAAAGACCAGCACAAAGGTAACAGATAAGTCAGTTGCTTGCAAGTAAATGAGCAAGGTAACAAGAAAGTCAGTTTTCGATTTGTGAAGTAATGTCAATACTCACATTGTCATGACCCATGTGACGAAGAAGCTTTATCTCTCGTAGAGTCCTTTTTGCATCTATTCTATTATCAAATGCATTGCCAATCTTCTTGATAGCTATTTCCTCACGTGTTTCCGAATTCAAAGCGGCACTGAGGAAAATTTAAAAAATCACATTTTACCTTCACATAGTAGATACTAAATATACAGAGGAAAAGAACAACATATAAGATCCTCGGAAAAGCAAAAAGCAAGAACTTTTATTCTCTCTTGCTAAGGCTCCACTCAATAACACCATATATATTATTAAGAGTGAAGTGATTAGAGAGAAATTCTAAGCTTTTAATCAAACTGGTAAGACAAAGATTCAAGCCAAACTAATTTGAGCAGATAATTTCATGCGAACAGAAGCAGCAATCCCATGAAGTCACTCGAGTGCAAGACTATTGCATATAGTTGTGTACCATGGGACATAAATAAACTAAGAATTAAAGTAACATAGATACATGAAAATCATTTCCCTATATGACAGCAAGGAAGAACAGCACACGGGTAAGCATACTTGCTAAACTTCAGCAGCAAAAAGTTCTAAGTTAAATGCCAGCTGATTCATCATAAGATACCTAGTATCTGTCTTGTATCAGGAAATGATGATTTTCTTAATCAGGATTTAGAATATCTCTGCCTCTTTTTAGCACATCAGTTAGTAACTTTTCAAGCAATGTGCCCATTGTCCGAAGACCAAATTCAGCTAGTCAAACCTTTCTTCACATCAAGGAGGTCATTTCCAATTTATTTATTTTTTGGGTGAAGACGGAGGTCATTTCCATTTTTCTTCAGCTACGTGCCAATTCTTGCATTTAGAACATTAAGCTTCATTTTATTCTTCCAAATTCCTATCCTAATACAATTCAACGTGAGACCTTTCAACATCTATGATTTTAAAATCATATTTAATCTCGTATCTATTTGTTCACTGGGTAACAAATTCGCCTAATTAATTTTTCGATATCTGAACTAGCATTATTTTTTAAATACCTAGCTGGCTAATACTTGCCAAATTTCACAATGTAGTTGTCTTATTCGACGGATACAATATTAGCCTAATTATGAGCAAAATTTGCACCAAAGTAAGTGGACTAATTAGAGAGGCCATTGACAGCATAACGAATTAAAGATCCTATTCCTATTATATAAGCTTGTGCAAACACTTCTGTCATGCAGTAGTAAACGTTGTACTCCTAGTTTCTTGAGCAATTAAATTTCTTCTATTTAGACCCAAAGAAACCACACCAGTTGACTAAATATCAGATTTCACAGTGCCACAGCTATTCAGTTTAGGATATACCTATAGGATTTGCAGTGATAGCTTCAGCTATGTATTAACAAGAGAAAACAAACAACTAAGCATGATACAAACCCACATTACTCACTTACCAAACACAACCTAAGGAAGTCATAAGTAACCCAGTTCAATTTTTTGATGGCTCACAGAATTCCACATTACACCAAATGCAAGCAATTTGGAACCAAATGGTACCCGGAAAACACAATTTTTTTCTATCAAGATGGTGGCTGGGCCTCATATAAACTAATCCACGGGACAAATTTCTTGCCAAGCACAGGCGCGGATCAACTTTACCACCAAGGCATGGGCATATAGGCTCACATTGAGTGTTCTAGATGAGATCACAACCTGGCATTACCAATTTGTTTCTCTTATGTCTCAAACACTCATGCACCCGATCAAAACTCCCACACGAAACAATCACTAAAAGCATAAAAAGGACTAGAGAAAACAACAAGACCCTTGAAATATAAAATCCAAGGTCAATGATTACAATCAGGGACAACCTTAGTTCCTCATCAGAGATTATAACCTAAACCAGGGGCAAGTAATACACTTTAACACACATAAACTTACACACCCATAACCCATTTACAAAGAAAAATGAAGATGTAATTCAAATTCAAAGTAATTGAACCCAAGAACAGATATTCTTACCAAACGATGCCATAAGCTCCACGACCCACAGGCCTAAGGGGAACATACTTTTTGGAAACTTCAAAAAGATTACCATACACATTATACTGCATATAACGACCCCCATGAGTTGGAACTCCACTGAAATTACTTTGGACACCATGATCACCTAAACTTGCCTCCATAGTAAATCAATTCAACAAGTCAGAAAAAAAACTGATTTTTTAAAAAGAATATGAAATCTTGGGCAAAACCCACTTCAAAGAAAGTGTTTTTTCCAAGTTCCAGAGAATTTGAAGGGCCAATTTGTGTCGGTAGACTTGCAAGAAGAAGATGTGAAGAGCTCTTTTGACATTTCTTTGAGTGGTGACCTTCTTCTTCTTTTTTTTCTTTTTTTTTTCTTCTCTCCTTGGAATAGTCTTCTTAAATTTTCACCATACAAGTATTTTTTACATTTTTTAATAAAAATAATAATCCTAATAGCATGCTAGTTACTTCTTCCGTTTCAATTTAGGTAGCACTTTCCAGATTTAGAAATTAAAATAACTCTATGTTTGATCATATTTTTTTACATATTTTCAATTGTTAGTTATTGTGATTTATAGTATTTTTACGTAGTTTTCAAATATATAATAAAAAAAATATGAAAATTTCATCTACAAATTCATGTCAATCCAAAATTATTTTACTCTCGAAATTCGAACAGTATCACATAAATTGAGTACCACATAAATTGATTGAGACAGATGAAAAAGTAATTTTTTTGTGCGTGTATGCTGACATTCTTATGAATAAGATGAGTTATTTTGATTTTCATACATTTAGAAGAAAAAAAATATTTGTTAATGTAAAGAAAAGATTATTAAAGTAAAAATGTTCTAGAAATATTAAAAAGTTATCACGGAAAATTGCTAGTAGTGTTGGAAAACTGTGGTCTACCTTTCAATCATGTTGATTTTTCAATGCATCAAATTGGTCACTATATTATAGTCCTCTTCAAAAATATATAATTTAAAAATTGTGGCAGCTTGGAATTGAAATCCTTTGACTAACTATGTACATATGGTTGGTAATTAGTTCTACATATTTTCTTTGAAGACTCTTATGTTTTATTCTTGGAAACTACGAGTAGTTGGAGAATTTTTTTTTATTTTTAATTTTGGTCATCCTAAACTCGTTTTGTTTGACTAGTGCAAGAAAGCTTTTATTCTTATTTTTGGTCTACCCATAGAGTTGAAAAATGTGCATAACTTTATTCATTGCAACCTTGCGTGATCAACAAATAGATCAAAGTAAACAAGTTGTAATTCTCGCATACTTGAGTGTAAGTTTGATCATCATATCCTCTGATCAAGATAGATTTGGCTTCGATATCATGTACATAGGATTGATTCAATTTTTAGAACAAATGTTCATGTCGAACACAACTTCTTTTGAGGCTAAAAAAATTGGAAAGATGTAAAAATTAGTTATAACATGTTGTGAAATAACCTATTGGACAAAAGTATTATTTAAATGTGTTCTTGGGGTATAGTTGAATGTAAATATTATGAATGTGAAGTGCATGTAAGATATTAGGTCGTGAAAGTTGGATCATCATTCTCGTAAAGACTTTTAGTCAAGAACTTTCTATAGACTTTTCATATCGCTTGAAGTCTTAATGAACAAAATCACTCACAAGTATTGATAGAGATGAAAAATACTCGGTAAATTAGTATAACACAAGGTGGACCGAACACTTATGTTATGTAGAAAATAATTTGGAATTTGGAGGTTTGAACAAATATTTCAACAATGTTTATGCTAAGAGCGGATCGTGGGTCGAGCTTGTCACACCAGGCTTGTCCGGGTTACCTCTCCTATGTGGTTTGCGAGCTATTGCATAGGAGCGGGGGTTTTACCCTGTGCGCATCCAAAAGATAGCGGTTGCGGGTTTCCCTTGTCATAAAAAAAAAGAGTGGATCGTTATTGCACACTAGCTAATCAATATGGGTATGCAGGAGAGAATTGCATTGATATTTCCAATCTCATCGCAATCTTGCATGATCAACAAAGGGATCAAAGTAAACGAGATATCTTTTCATACAATTTGACTTCAGTATTTTATAATATGAAAGAAAAATATAATGAAATCTATTTTAAACCATATGTCTTGGACGAACACAACTTTTCTTTGTAAGACTAAAAAATTATTGAAAGATGTGCATGTTGTAAAATGGTATACTAAACAAGTGTTCATTTAGAGACAAATTCAGGATTTGAAGATGATGGGTGCACCACAAACAGAATGAAATTCTAACTCAATCCCATCACCACGAAATCAGGAGGGACACATGGTTTCACCAATGCACCAATTAATTTTTAGTGTTTTTATAGTGCCTAATGAAATATATCTCATATCTCAAATTATATATATATACGTAAATTTTTTCGAAGTTAACGAATGCACATGCACCTTCATACGTACATGTGGGTCCACCTCTATGTTCTTTGATTGTATTCTTAGGGCACAATTGAATGTAAATATTATGAACGCAAAAGCATAGAATATCAGGTCAAAAAACTTGGGCCACCATTCTCTTAACATCTAGAAGGTCGGTATTAATGAATGAATTAAAATGTCTTGTCAGTACACATATAATTAAGTCCTAAGAGAGGGCTGCCACCAACTTGCATCCATTAGACCCCACTTATTAGAATTCATCCAATACATATAGTGGAGTGAGTACCAATTGGAGCAATAAAATAGAGGGATTTATCTTCATTAGGTGGCCACTGAACCTCACAATTGGCCTGCAAATAGTGTATGACATTTGGTATAAGCCAGCGGTTAGCGTGTTAAGTTTTACTAATCTATTTCCCACGACAAGTAATTATAATTATAATACATCAAAGTTAAGTAAAATTTCTCAATCCACCTACCAAAATCTAATATTATACGAAAAGATAAAAGAGTTAAATCATTTGTATACATCGCTAGCACTCAAAAAATCAAAAACAGATTTTCATGTAGTTTCAATAAGTCGTAAAACATCTAGCTTGGGGTTGATGTCTATAATTAAAAAAAGATTACATATTTTAAAAGGTTAACTTATCTACGTAATACATGTCTGAAAACAAGCCCATAAGGAAAAATTTAAACTACAAGTGTCTAATAAAAAACACCAATGTTCAAATGAAACATGTCATAGTTCCTACCAAAAAGCTAACCCAACAAAATCCAATTTTTTTCTAGACTAGACCTTCGGAATTTTTCAGGGTTCATACATGCATTGATCCAGTCGAAGAACCTGCTCCAGAGCGACTACTCCGCCAGAGTGCGTTGATGTGAATGGAGTTGGAAGCTAGTCAATTCCCCACTCTTTGCGCCATCTCTGACCATCATTTTTTCTTCAAGAAAATATAAGCCACAGACCCACTAGTATTATTCTTCTCATTGTTTTATCGTCTACCACGTTGGAATTAGCTGTCTTCAACGTTGGAAATACGTTTGTCCAACAACCCACTTGTTGCTTAATCAAACGCCAGAAATTCTCCATACCACAGTTACCCCCAACCTAAAACAATGCCATCCACTCGCTGACAGTAACACTTTTCCCAATGTCATTTCAAGTTTAAACACAAAAACAGATTTAATTCCAGTTCTACTAGTAAACAAAAGATGGAGCAGAAAAATTATAACTTGATCTGATAGCAGGGATGACAACTTCTCATTGAACCATAAACTTCTTTTATACATCGTTGACATAGTAGAGGAGTACAGACATATATTGATCATTATAAAACACCTATATGGCCACAATACACAACCTTTACCACAATAAATTACACAACCTTGATCACAACAAATATTATATATTGCACATCTTAGCAGTACATCATATTTAACCAGAAAGCACAAAACTCCGCATTGACACACGCACCCATGTGTATACACAAAAGATACTCGCTTTCTTAACCATCACTTCACCATTTGTTTATGTACATTGTTGTTTGGATGGGCTGGTTTAACGACTGCACTACCAACTCTAAGGTTACAAAGCAAAGCATCGCGTCCAGTTAGAAGGATTTGAAAGAACTTATCTGTCTCCTTTGCTAGGAGATCTAGTCCTACCGAAAAAATTTCTGTTTTTTTAGTCAGATCTAAAGTTAGAAGTTCCAACTGTGCCGCGTTAATAGGGTCTATTCCATCCTGTATCACTGGGTATATCTTCTTGACACTAACATCCAATGCTTCAAGCTCCTTCAGTGCTGTGAATTTCCCTCCAGAATATATGCCCCTGATCTCAGCACTAATAAAATCACGAAGATCAACAAAAGCTTCTGTCCACAAGCAAGTCTCATGAACCTGCAGATCCTTCAATTTTGCTGCAGAACCCGAGAATGCAACAGCAAAGATGCTACATATGAAAACAGTTGCAACCCTCACTCCATACATCGCATGCATCAGAACCTTCCCTTTAGCAGAATTCTTAATCTTGGGTAGGTTCAGTGATTCAGTGAGGCTGTCCAAGATGGCAAAGCAATTTTCCAGTCTATGGTTCTTTGCATTAATGTGCTGCTTCCATCCATCCAATGAAGAACGAGCCTTCATGAACTGTGTTGAGGAGCCATCCAGCTTGTGCAAGCTGCACTGAAGATAAAGGTGGCCTTGGCTAAGCCTGGAAATCTCAGAGCTGTAGGCTACACACATATCCAGCATCCTTAAACTATTGTCCAAGTAGACACCAATCCACTTCTCATCCCAGTCAGATACAGGAAGCTCGAGATCAGTAATAAGAGTTTTCACATCTGTATGGACTGCACAAAGTGTGCTTATTGCTTGTTTCATCCATGAAAGGCTAAGGATATCTTCCTTGCCTCCAGGTTTAAGACTCTTGAGTCTCCCTGCTAAGGTCTGCTCAAATGAATTCAACAGAGCAAGGAGTTTAGGAGACAAATATGAGCCCTTGGGTGATAATATCATTTTAAACGGATTTCCAAATCGGTGATGACGGTGTGATTCCTGTTGTAGACTCATTTCAATATAAGATAAACTGCACAGAAACAGAGAAAAAGACACCATGAACAAGTTATTCAGCAAAAAGAGTTCTAGTTTTTTTCCCACAAAACCACCCAACATACAATTAAAGAAGCTTCCCCTTGTATGTGTAGTAAATATTCTAGCATACTTCTCTTATAACAACTGTATGCAAACTATACTATTAGTGATATGCAGCAAATAATAAATACTACTTGATAATCAAGCTTCAAAGAACCAACAAGGTGCATCTCACAACTTCAAAAAAAAACTCTAGCCAAGCAAAAGAGAAGCTGCATAGCAAAGCCAAACCTAGCATATTCACTGAGGTGTCTAGTAACAGAGAAAGCCAGAAAGGCTGGGCTTCCCCTTTTACCAGACACACCCTTTCAACCAAACACATGACA